CTCAGAGGCAACTACACTACATTGGTGCAGTGCACTGGTTATTTTACAACTATCTTACAACAGGTTAGCTCCTGCCAGGTACACTCCTTTATATCCTGATGGTTGGAGCCTATCTCTCAATGTCTTTGAACCCCTTCAGGTTGTAACTTTTTATAAAATAATCATCACCTTCTCAAATGTTGGTTTTGTTAATGACATCTCTATTCTAAGAAGGTATTTTAAAAAATGAACCCCTTCAGGTTGTAACTTTTTTTTTCTCTGAACCGCTTCAGGTTGTAACTTTTTTATACAATAATCATCACCTTCTTAAGTGTTGATTTTGTTAATGACATCTCTATTCTCAGAAGGTATTTTAAAAAATGCATTTGTGAAGCAACTATTATTTCTGAGAAAATAAAGGAGAGGATTGAGATCACCAGAATGAGAGAAGAATTTGTTGGAAAACATAACTTCAAAATGCTTGTTTCAAAAATATCTAATGTTCCCAATCATTTGTTTTCAGCATTTTTCATTCTTATTTCCATATACGTAGTAAAGATGCTAGATCATAGGGCTGCTGTCTCATTAGAGAGAGACAGCTGGTGGTGGTTTCACCTGAGGGTCACCATGCTTCCTGTGCAGGGAAATTTTGAGAAAGAGAGTCCTTCATGGTACCATCAGCCATTATGGGAATTGAACCCATGCTGTTGGCATTATTCTGCATTGCAAACCAGTTATTTTTGATCAATGCCCTTTAGCTTTTTGTCTGTTAGACAGTAGAAAAACTAGACATCCAGAATTGCAATGTCTGAAACCATCTTCATTGTGTTATAAAGGAAGCTAATTAATCTATTCTGATTCAACAATGCTAAATACATGTTTTCTAATCTTTGTTATGTGCCATCTTGGTGTGCATTGTCAGCTTTGAACTGCAGAGAGATAACAACTTTTTGATGAAAACATCACCAAAGCTAATTTGTGCTCAGGAACTGCATCCCTGATTTGAACATGGCTCAAGTGGTGATCATAGGGCAAGTGAGATATATGACAGACTCACCCTGCTATGTCAACCTAATGCCATTTTACCTCCCAAACATCATCACCATTTTAAATTTTAATTTTCAGGTGTAGATAATGTTGAAGGCATCGCTGTGGACTGGATTGGGAATAACTTGTATTGGACAGATGATAGTTACAAGAAGTCTATAAGCGTAGCAAGACTAGAGAAGGCTTCTCAGACCAGGAAGACTTTGGTAGAAGGTGAAATGTCACATCCAAGAGCCATCGTTCTGGATCCAATGCATGGGTGAGTACTTTCTTTTAACCAGCTTCAAGAGGCTTCTTGTGATGTTAAAATCAGTAAGCCTTGTGTACGGGTCTCAATATGTTTTACATATAGAAATAATGTATGATCCCATAGAGGAATGGTGTGCATTAATACAGGTTGTACATTGTTATTGCTTAATAAAAGAATTCTTTTTGGCATCAGAGACCTAGAGTAATTTCACTGTAAATCTGCAAATGAGCAATTATAATATTTAACGTCTAATATAATGTTACCCATAAGATCATTTGTTTCCTGAAACAGTTCTTTATGTAGGCACAAAATGCAATGGAATAGAGGTTTTAAAAAGCAATTCCAGTCCAACTACACAAATAGAAGCAGAAATTACATACTGGAGTCAGCAAGATGTCAGCTGGACTGACTTATTACCTTAGAACTTGGATCACCCACGAAGAGGGGCACAATTTGCGTGCAGTGTGTGTTCCAGGCACCAAAATGGGAAATTTGTTTAGCCTGACTCATTTTTTAAAAAATGAGTTGCCAGAAACTCTTTAGGACAGCATGGTGGCTCAGTGGTTAGCACTGCTGCCTCACAGCGCCAGGGACCCGGGTTCGATTCCACCCTTGGGGCAACTGTCTGTGTGGAGTTTGCAGATTCTCCCCGTGTCTGCGTGGGTTTCCTCCGGGTGCTCCGGTTTCCTCCCACAGTTCAAAGATGTGCACGGTAGGTGGATTGGCCATGCTAAAGTGCCCATAGTGTTCAGGGATGTGTAGGTTAGGTGGCTAATAGGGGAAGGGTCTGGGTGGGATGCTCTGAGGGTCAGTGTGGACGTGTTGGGCTGAAGGGCCTGTTTCCACACTGTAGGGATTCTATGAAAAGTGCAAAGGTCAGTCACAGTGGCAGAAGAAGTGTGTGTGCTAGTGTTGGTAGTGGACAGCCAGTAAGATTGGCCATCTTAAATTATGGTCAAGGATCCACAGTATGGCTGGAAGGAGGGTGAAGACAATCACGAGGGAGCATGCTGCAGTTGGAATTATCCAAGATTTTAGTGTGGAGCTGGAGGAACAGTTTTCATTATTTTAATTATTTGTATAAAATATCTTTGTAGTTTTGGTAGCAGACCCTTTCAGGATTACAGATTAGACTACATGTGAACATGGTAATTTCAGGTTACCTGTGTCGAGTGTAAATGAGTTGCCATTTTGCATTTTCTGATTGCGTCCAAAGGGCCTCATAGCTGATTTTAGGCAGTTTTCACCAGGACAATTACTTTATACTGCTTTCAGACTTTTCCAAATAATATTTGGATGACCAATTTCCCACCTCCTCCCCTGAATGTGCTCACTCATGGTTGGATAAACTGCATGCTTGAATTGATGTCACAGAAATTTATTGTTCTGAGGAAGGGCCACTTGACCCCAAATGTTAACTCTGCTTTCTCTCCACAGATACTGCTGGATCTGCTGAGCTTTTCCAGCAATTTCTGTTTTTGTTTCCACAGAAACTTATGTTTGATTTTTGTCAAAGGAATATTTATTTAATAGAGTAGGGTAGAGATCATGGAACCTTATACTTCAAACAATCATAGAATCCCTACAATTTAGAAGCAGGCCATTCAGCCCATTGAATCACACTGACCCTCTGAAGAGCGCCCCATCCAGACCTACCTTATAACCCTGAATTTCCTAGGGTTAATCCACCTAACCTTCACATCCCTGGGCATTATGGGCAATTTAAGATCATTTGCACATTTTTGGACTGTGGGAGGAAACCCGAGCACACCCACACAGACATGGGGAGAAGGTGAAATCTCCACACAGCCAGCAGTCCAAGGGTGGAATTGAACCCAGGTCCCTGGCACTAACCACTGAGCTACCGTACCACCGGTTCCTATTATCAATAAGAAAATGTACTGATAATTTTATTTCTGAAGTTGTTATAATGTTTCCTTTTCTGAAAGAATTAAGAGACACCTGCTTCCATTTAATGCAAGTGACAGACTTTCAATAAGCGTGCTCAATTGTATTTTGGTCTCATTTGATATCTAGATATGTTGCCACAAAGCTTGATTGTGTTTTGACTGAATATTACATGGCCCTGTCAGGTGTGTTTCCATCAGGTGGGCATACAAAATAGGGTGTCAAGGTTCCACTTTCCCACCAACTCCTGCGCTGACCTCAATATCAAATAGGATGGACAGTGCTAATATTGGAAGCCGGCCCACCATGTGTTCATTAATCAATAAAGGTCAACTGAGCTTGTAAAAACTCTGCTAACCCTAATGTTCCCCAGCCCATGCCATTATACAGTTGGTTTTGGCAGGTGTTGGAGGTCTAACTTCTATTTTACAAATTTTTGAAATGGCAGAAAGGAAAGAATACTACCTTTATAGGATGTCCTTTGCCAATCAGGGGGCACCTCCCCAGAAGATAATGACCCCATTCCTTCCTAATCACATGTATTTTTAAATCCACTCTTCAAACCCCCTTCACCCTGTGTTGGCAAAGCCCACCTGTTCTCTGCCCCCAGCTTACCTCAGTACCAGGATCAATTGGGCATCCTTCATGGGCCTGCCTGTAGTCCCATCAGTGCCCACTATGGAGCTGTGGCTTTGCTGGAACTGCAGGACCTACTGACCAATAAACCATCACAGCACCTTCTCCCCATCCCAAAGATAGATTTATGCCTTCAAGGGTCACAAGTGTTATTTTCTATACCCAAACAGTTCCTTCAGTGAGCTATTTTCCACTTTCACTGGGCAGCTATGTGAGCGATGTCTCTGCTTTACTGAAGGAGCACTCACTGAAATCTGTTTTTGACACACCCATAGCCTTAGAGCAGGTGAAGGATGGCATGGCCAGTGAGTTTGAAAGTGATCATGGCGATGTGCTCATTTACATTGGGCTCTTTCAGGATTACAGCAAATGACAATTCCAAAAACTCTTAGATTACTCTCTACCGATGCTCTGAATACAATAAATACCAAATATATTTAATTGTCTCTTACAGGCCAGACATAATGAATAGAGGAGTGCAGGATGCCATTGACTTCACTCATATGACTTAGCAGAGACCATTTTGTAGATGCATAATTGTAGATATTAAAGTTGTCATATTCCCAGAGAACCATAGGGCTGCTCTCTCATTATTGAGAGATGATTGATCATGCTTTAACCTGAGGGTCAGTGGAGAAAGACAGACAAAAAAGAATGAGTTTGAGAGAGGTGATGGAATTGTGGAGTATGCTGAAACAATGTGCAAGAGTATGGGGAAATGGAAGGTAAATAGCCTCAGTCACAATGCTCATTTGCGGGCCAGGATGGACACAATGGGCTAAGTGGCCTTCAACAATTCCATAGCATTCTGTGAGACAGTCTTGTGTGATGAGGGGAGGTGGACTGTGAGGAGGAGGAGGAGGAAGTTGAGGTCTGAACATACTGATTAGTTCTTGCCCTGTTGCTAGTCTCAGACACCACTTAGGTGTTGCTGCCCACAATCATGCACCATCTTGTTTCACAGAACAAAATAAAGTATGTCAGGGTTTGTGGTACCATCTGCTTGCAAGGACATCGACCTGAAACATTAACTCTGTTTCTGTTTCCACAGAGGCTGACAGAACAGCTTAGTATTTCTAATATTTTCTATTTCTAATTTATATATAAATTCAAGCCTTCCTTATTCCCAAACATGATGAAAAATCAATTGCCTAAACACAAACTAAAAATGAGACCTAACCATCCAAGAGGGTCAGGATCAATATTGCAGAATGAATTATAAACTCTTTGAGTGGATCATCTGCCTTTATAGTTCCTGTCGTAACTCTGTTCCATTTATTTATAATCATTTAAAATGATCCATTACAACCTTAATGGCAAGACTGAAATTTATTCCTATATATCTTACCACTTCTTTGAGAGAATTTTCAATAATACCAATGGAAATGTTGTAGGAGTATTGGTTGAAATCCCACTTAAATGTAATTCATAAAGTCTGGAACATAAATCTAGTATAAGTGATGATGGCTTCCGAAGAAGTGTCATATCAGAATTAAAACATTAACTTTGTTTTTCCCTCTGTAGATGCTGCTGAAGTACTCCAGCACTTTGTGTTTTTATTCAGGTCTCTGGCATCTGCAGTATTTTGCTTATATTTCAGGAATAATAACTATGAAACCACCATCAATTATATTAAACAAAATCCATTTGGTTCATTTCTAGGAAAGAAATTTGTCATCTTTACTCAATTAGTCTTGCAGTTGACTCAGGACCAACATGATTGACTCTTGAATGCACTCTGAAATGGCCTAGTAAAACCATTTGTTTTAACAAACGGTTAGGGATAGGAAAGAAATAAATGGCCTTGCTAACAATGTTCATAATCCATGAAGGCTTAAGAATAAAGAAACTCTTTGGTTACTGTGCCTTAAGTCGTTACAACTAAGTCTATGGATGGTGCTTCTCCCAGAGACTCCTGTTTGCTTGTGTCCCTCCGTGGAAACTCTACTTTCTTCGTTTCTTCTGGCATTGGGCATCTACACTTCCACACTTGGGGTCTGCTACATTTTTGAGACCCTCATATCCTTAGTTTGTCATTATCCTTGAAAAAGGCTTTCTCACTGCCTGGAGTACCATAACCTGCTTATATACATAAATGTATACATTATACATTACACCGGAAACAGCTCTAATGCAGTATTCCTATTCTCTGCCTCTTCAAGTCTCAGTTACATGCTTCTGTTTGCTTTGCTGGCCTGATTTCACTGTATTTGCATATCATATCCCATTCTACAACAATGACCACAGTAATGTATCTACCTACTGTGGTGTTGGAGGGTTATTTTAACTTTATGACCCATTTGATTCCAGAACATTTTTTTCAGCATGTGTCAATCTGTGAATTTAAATGGGTATATTTTACCATATTTATTAAAATTAATTGTTTTCCTAAAAGGTACTATTTCCAAATTACTTGACTCAATAAAGCAATGAGCACTTTCACAGAAAGTGGTTGTTTAGAGGTT